CCCAAAAAAAAATGTGGGAAGGAAAATTTGAGTGCATTCATGTATAAAAGATTGTTTAAAAAAAATCATAGGGATTGAAACATAAGAGGTTGATGTCAGCACCAACTCTCCTGTTTTTCCTACTCCTCACCCTCCTGCACTTCTTCCTTCCTTATTTGTGTGTGCAGATGTCACACAGTTTTGGCGGCTTCTTCCATGTGTTTGAGACATGGTTCCTTGTTCATCACTGCATACAACATGGCTAGCTGGGCTGCAAGCTTTCAGGGAGTCTTATGCCCTATAATACTTGTATAATCCCAGAGCTATTACAGATGTGTTCCACCACCCTCAACATGTGTGTACACATGCGGAACACACACAAGTGGAGACCTGGTTATTTCTCTGCCAGCTTGGCAGTGGAGTGGAGTGGTTGTTCTGACCCCTGGCCACTCCCCAGGGCCAGCTCAGACCTTTACCCACATACGCCCTGGGTTAAGAGCTTGCACAGTACTGTAGTACTTTCCACTGCTGCTCTGAACCCAGCACCAGGAGTTGCATCCCAGCACTCTTCCACCACGTCACTTTATACATATCACACTTCTTCAGGACTTAAAGGGGCTTTAAATTTTTCATTTACATTATATGCCTAGGAAACTTTTATTTTATCATAAGTAAGAGTTTGTAGTGCTGGTCTGACTTTGGTCACCGTGACCATGACCAAGACCCCAAGAGAAGCAGCTGTGGGGAGGGAGGGTAGGCTCTGGCTCAGGATTTTGCAAGTTTTAGCTCAGTTGTGGTGGAGAGGGCATGGTGGAGCAGAGAGACAGAGACACAGAGAATATGCCTGTGCTGCAGGCTTTCTTCCCTTTCTCTCACTATTAACTCCATCTGTCTCCCAGACTGTATGATACCGCCACCCACATTCAGGCACACCCTGTGTCTGCTTCCCCTTCTCCTAGGTAACTAATAAATCCCGTCAAGTTAACACCCAGAATTGACTGTGGAGATATTTTCTTTCATATTATAGAAGGAACAGCCTCCTTATTGGAAAAAGTAAACTGATAACATTATGTGCTGTTCCACAAGCTTGTACTCTTATGATGTATTTTGTATCAGTTAAAAATAAATATTTTACCAGGCACAATTGTGCACACCTTTAATCTTAGCACTTGGGAGGCAGAGGCAGACAGATCTCTATGAGCTCCCTCTGTCCCCAAAGTATGTATTTAAAAATAAAAAAGTTTAAAAAGTAGAAAGAACAGCTTGGCTGAGTGAAAGTGGCTACGGCAAGGACAGAGAGGTTTTGAGCTGGGGGTGGGGGTGAGGGAGCTGTGATGGAGGCTGCTGTAGAGGAGGCCCCCATAACTGCTGAATCATCAAACACTGAAAATGTCAGCTGGCCCCCAGGCAAGGAGGGGATCCCAGCCAGTGTGGATAGCCAAGGCCAGTCCCCAGCTGCGCCTCCTGTTTGTAGCTGATTCCTGTTGGACCATGCACCTGGGGCTGCAGGGCGACACTTGACTTAATTAACGGGGCATCATTGTCTTCTCTGGAGATGAGTGGATTTGGCCTATAGCTTTTGAAGGCACCGGCTGCCTTCTCTTGCCTTTGATCTGCCTCCAGCTTGGCCTCCCCCTGGCCTTCTGGATTCTCCAGGGGAGTGGCCTATGTTTGACTCCTGCAGGGCAGTCTGGGCCTCCCCTCTCCCCCCCAGGATCTCCCCTTGCTGTCTGTGCAGGACAGGGTAGCAGGTGGAGAGTGGCATCTTTGTTTCTGCTACTTCTAACAGAAAGAAAAACAAAAACAAACACTTGGTGTGGCCGAGTGTTACATTGATGTAAAACAGATTAATGAGAGAAACAGTTTTATCTTTTTTCCCATATGAGCAAAGCAATTTTAGTTTTGGACACATGCACAGGCATCTCAGTAAGGGGCCTATGGTCAAAGCTTTCATAATCATCCTGAGCTTTAAAAAGTAAGCAGGGTGGCTGGTCCAGGAAGAGAGAGAGGAGCGTCTGGAGACGAAAGCCACCACTACTACCCTGATGTAGTCTTCAGGGGGCCAGAGATGCCCCAGGGTGGCTCTCTCCTCAAACCAGCCTTTTTCCACACTCTCTTTCCAAACATGAGTTCTTTTGCAAATTGAAAGTTGTTGTTTTGTAACTTTCCTGGGGACATGTGGACAGATGCCTACTCATCGAAGATAGGCACCAATGACAGATGAAAGAAACTCTTCTACCCAGACGTTATTGGGGTTACTCACAGGAGTAGAGGTGACTTGAGGGCAGCTGTACCATTGAAAAATCCACTCAGCGTGAGTGGCACTCAAAAGCTTCATTCTGGAGAGCTTCTTGTCCCACTTGCAGAAAGCTCAGCCAGTCTGAGAGTAGCCTTTCCCCAGCAATTTTACTATTTATTCATTAAAATTACTTATTATCATTATCATTGTTACTGTTACTTTTAAAATTTTTTTATTTTATGTGCATTAGTGTGAAGGTGTCAGAGTCCTTGGAATTGGCAGTACCGTTGTGAGCTGCCATGTGGGTGCTGGGAATTGAACCCCGGGTCCTTTGGAAGAGCAGTCATGTCTGTTATTATTATTACTATTTAGTATTATTATATGTGTATATATCAAGTTGTTTCTTGATATATACACATATATCAAGGAGTTGCCTCTTTTTTCACCATTTGGGCCTGGGAGATTAAACTCAGATCATCAGGCTTGGTGGCATATGCTGAGCCATCTCTCTAGCCTGTTACTGTTTATGCAATGTTGGGAAGGGGCCATGAAAAATCTTACCTTTCAGAAGCTTCCTGTCAGAGACTTTTTGTTATTGTTGTTGTTACTTCCTGGGCCTTGTGTGTTTCCTTGACTTCCTTAGTCTTAGGAGCCAGGTTTCTCTCTAGGAAGGACTGTTTCCCTTCAGAGAAAATAGCTACAAAGAGTCTATTAATTACTGGAACCAGTTGGAAGAGATAAATAGCACTTCCTACCTTGGAGAACATGTCAAAAGACATATTTTATAGACAGAGACAGAGAGAGATGTTGGCAAGGCATGTTTTGAACTTCTCTACGTCTTCTCTGAATCCCTGGTGCTGAATGCATACAGTTCTTTCCTTACCCTCATCTCTGTGCCTGGCATGTGTGTTTCAGCTAGACACAGGGACATGCTCCTGGACCCCTGGCCCTGCAGGAGATGTGAGAGTGGACACTTGTATGACCTAAAGTCTCCGAAGTGTCACAGGCATACTTCATGTGCCCATACCTTCTCAGTCTTTGCTATCAATAGAGACACTCCCCAGAGGTTCACCCTAGCCTTTTGCCCCTGAGATGGGTCTTGGGGGCACAGAGTTAGCAGAGATGTCAGACAGTGCCCAATCATAGGCCAGTGAGATTTTCATGGAAAGAAAAGTAATGAAACACCTTAAGATAAGTAAAGGATTCCCATGCAGCTCTGTCTCGTGGGGGTGTAAAAAGCTTTCAGAAGCCTAACTTCAGGAAATGGGATGACACAGTGCTACCCCCTGAACTTGAATTCCATGCCTCACACTCTGAGCTGCACCCCAGTCCCCAGCTTTGGCCTGGCAACGTTGTTTCCCCAGTGCTCTGTCCCCAGCAGTGGCTCAGTAGTACTGGTCTGCTTAGTTTACTACAGAGATGTTGAGATGCATAGACAGCCAGTGTCTCATAGCCCTGAGGGGATCAGGGTGGGTGACAATTCCTCTTTCGCTGCTGCTTGAAGCTGCAGGGGCTGCCGTCTGTGTCAGGTCGAGGACTGAGGTAGGGTGCCGGGAGGGGAGTGACACTATGGTGGTGTAAGGTATGGTCCAGGGTGGAGTAGCCAGTCCCTCTGGTGAGACCGCTCCACCAGTTGAGCGTGTGCTGGTTGGTGCCCATGTTGGGATAGGCTTTGTCCCAGGGAGGTGGGAGCCAGTGGAGGCTGAAGCCCAGAAGGGATGCGTCCATCTCATGTCTTGACCACAGTTCTAGTTGCTTGGTGGGGTATAAACTGTGGGGGCTGGGGCTGAAGCAGGAGGGCCATTGGGACACTAGGATGGCTGGGTTGATGGCAGTGGACTATGAAACCCTGCTTACCTGGCGGGAGGACTAGGGGGAATCAGACGGTTACCAGCCACTGCAGGGCTTGGATTTGGGGGAAGAGAAAGGATCAGTATGAGTCCAGAAAAGGAGGGCACATGAGCTGGCATCCCAAACGGAAACCAGGGTGAGTATGCTGGCTGAGCCAGCCACCAGACTGGATCTGCATGGAGCTCTCCCTGTGTGTATTGTTTGATGAGGGACACCAAAGAGGAATCAGTGTCACGGGGACGTGGCTGTGGCCACACTGACAAGGTGAAGGTCAGCTTAGGGGCTGGTCAGTAGGGAGGCTGCTGCTTTGCAGTTGTGGTGTGATGGCTTAGAGGCTGTGGTGGCGGCGGCACATGCCTTGGGGATCACAGCTGTCCAGTGGTGCCTTCAGGGTCACAGCTCCTGCCCCCAGTGCTGTCCTAGGAGGGCACAGGACAGCACACCCTTGTAAATGGGCGGCCATGATGGGTTGGAGCTCTTTAGGACTCTTCTTATCTTTACTCAGCTGTTGTCTTCAGAGGCTCTGAAGAGCAGTAGGTGCTGAGCAGCCATCTAGACTTGCGGGGGTTGTGGGCCTGGACTGTGTTGTAGCTCAGGATATCCCGGGAGGTCCACATATTTTTTTCTGTAACCCTCCGGAGTATGGCTGCAGCGTGGTGACAGAGAACAAAAGCCCTCGGACCAGGCTTTTCATATGCCTATGGGGTATTGAGGCTTGGAGACTGGATAAGGGCTGATTCACCCATGGCCCAGGGGCTTCTCTGAGCCCACCTACCTAGAGGGCTGGGTCTATAATGTGGAAGGGTAAAAGGGGCTAACAAGCCCAGCTTCTTCTGCACAGTCAAGCGGGCCTAAGGTGGATTGCGGGCAGGGCCCCATGGCGGCCAGGATGCAGAGCTCTGCTGTCCTCATTTTTGCCTTTTCTCTATAGGCCTTTTCCCTCAGAGGAGACGGCTGAGAATGACGATGACGTCTACCGGAGCCTGGAGGAGCTGGCTGAGTAAGTAGAGGAAGGAGCCCCAGGCTCAGCGGGTGGGGAAGCTGCTCTCAAGGGAGAGCCAGCCTTGACTGTCCTTTCTGTGATGTCCCTGCCAGAAGCTGGGGTTTCTGCATGGCCAAGTTAGAGGCATCCTGCCTGCCGTGCACCCTCTGCCGAGCTGCCTGGTAATTGCCTTGGTATCTGTTGGTTATGGTTGGTGGCCTGTCTCTTGGAATGTTTCCTTCTGTAGAGCTGCTGGGAGTGGCACTGGGCAGGCAGCCTGGGTGAGGTGTCCTTGTGTTCCTCTTTCCTGGCCTTTGGGTGCCATACTGGATAGGCTCTAAGCAGTGGGGCTTGGGCTCAGATGGTCTTATAGCTTCCTGTTTTAGGCTGTGGCTGGCAGGAGAGAGCTGGTTCCCTATGTCTTAATGGCCCCATGCAGCATAATTCCTCTAAGGCTTTTTTTTTTCCTCTACCACATACAGGCCAAGCTGGGTCATTTCCCCACAGGGATGACGGATCCTTTGGCCTAGCTCTGCAGCCTGCTGTGGTCAGATGAGTGGGATCACGTGGTCGGTGTGGGATTACCCAGCTCTCTGCTAGGGAAGGGAGGTAGCCCATCCTGAGCCTAACAGTGGGGTGGAGAGAGGGGCCAGACATCTTCGTTCTGACAGGGAGACCAGGCTGGGAGGATCCAGGCCTGCCCAGGACCTAGTTTGTCATTGGCAGCCCCTAACCTGAGTGTTTGTTTTTCCTCTCAAGTTTGGGGCTCCTTTGGGCCTCCTGATAGACTGCTGTACTCATTTTTACCATACACATTGCCTTCTTCTGAGATAAATGTGTCGCTTCTATGGAGACTGGACATCTCTCTCTCTCCCATTGTCTCAGTGCAGAAGAGCAGAAAGGAATCAAATGTGCTGGGTGGGGTTAGCGTGTTCTGCATACCTGCTGTGTAAAACTCCCAAACTAGGGTTTGCTACACTCACACCCCTCCCGCCATCTGGGGTGTCTCTAGACATGGAGCACAGTGTGTTTGCGAGGTCTCTGTTGGATGCGTCTAACCCTGTGGCATTGTGATGTGGCATTGCCATCTACAAAGTTAGTGCCTAAGAGGCCCCCTCTCCCAGTTACAGTGTCTGAAACAAGTCTAGGACTTGTGTTGGGCAGCACTCATAGCTGTTTGGAGTCCCACACAGCCCACAGACGAAGTCGGACATGCCTGGAACTCATCCACAGCTTAGCTTGTCTGTCCTAGGCTGGTGGCCCTGTCATGCAGTTCTGTGAAAGCTGGAGATTCCTCATCTGCAGGCCTAGGGAATTCCAAAAGGGGTTGCCAGGAGGCCTGGGGTGATCCCATGGGCAGGAAGCCCAGACTTCCTTCAGGCATCTAGCTGAATCCTCCTGGCTTATAAAGAGTCCCTAAGAGGGAAAAGGCTTCCATCAAAGTCACCCAAGGCCTTGAGTCCTTTGCCTGCTAGATACCATTGTGACTCTGACACATCTCCAGGGTCAGGGAAGGGCTTAGAACACTCAGGTGCAGGCAGAGCACCGTGGGGGTAGAGGATGGAGGATGGTGCATTTGGGCCGGTGGCACAGCACAAGGGAGATCCCCAAGGGCATGGTGCCTCTGCCCTGGTTGCTGCAATCTGAGATACATGCTGAGTGCGTGGTTATCCTGGGTGCCTTTGCTCTGCGAAGCCTGGTGTGTCCTACCCATTGTATCTGCACCCCTTCTTGCTATCTTAGAGACTCTGATATTAGGTGGTTAAATGTCTCCAGTAGACTAGAAGGGTCCTGAGGTCAGGCCCTGCATCTGAAGACTTCAGCCCTCAGCATGTGCCTGCTGTATATGGTATAACATCATGGCCCTGTAAAGAAGTCAGGACTCTCTAGCTTTTCTTGCTAGGACCACATACGGGACCCTCCCCTTCTCATGCTTTGTGGGCTCACGGATTGGGAAGTGAGCCCAGTGGGAGGATGGCATTGGTTTGTGTCACTCAACTAGTAAGTGGCAATGAGGACTTGGGCTCCAAGTCTGCCCTAACGTGCAGTCTAAGTTGAGTGGTCCCATAGAGGCCGGGGAGCTCCAGGCTGGTGCTGAGAACAGTTCTCCTGACACCCCTCCTGAGCCTTCATCTATATCTTGGGGCAGAGTCTCTCAGGTTGGCACAGACTGGGATTTGGAAGGACAAGGATCCTGAAGGTCTTGTGTATCTAAGGCCAGGTATGAAATACCTTGATACTTTCCCATGTTTTCCCTGACTGCTATTCTGGTGGTGGCCTGTGTGCCATGGTTCATGTGATGCATTTCAATTTCAAGGACTTACATGTGTCTGGAAGTCTGCCTGGAACCCACCTCCCTTTCCCTCTGCCCCTTCTGGTTGGCGACTGGTTTCTATCCAAACCAACCTGGAACTGCCCCCATAGGAATGCAAGGCTGAGAACAAGTAGCCTTGCCCAGACAAAAGCTGCTCCTCAGTGACATTCATGCTCAGCCGGCTTAATCCTTAACCCTTCGGTTACTGCAAACCTGAATTGGAAATTACAGGCAAGGATGGTGAGTCTGAATCTTCAACTTGTAGTTTGGTCCCAGCGGCTCAAGTTTAATATATGCTCCCTCACCACCCCTCCCCTTCTCCTTTCCTTGGAAGGCAGATTTCCTGGTACTTGTCTCTGTGGAGCTGCTAGTGATGTTTGCCCATTACACAAACAGCCTGCCTGGGGAGGCTATGAGGCAGCAGCTGGGGATAGTGTCATCTGATAGCAGCTATGTGTATGGGGGAGCCTTTCAGAGTATAAGGGACCGAATCTGCAACAGTAGCCACATTGCCTGTCTACAGGACTCTTCCAGCTACCCTGACCAGACACTGCAGCTTGTAGTGGTGGTAGTGGTAGGGGGTGGGGATGCTAAGCACTGGCTCCCTGATGTGGCTGTCTCCTTGGAGCTCCAGGTATTGTCTGTTGAGGGGCCATTGTATGCAGTGAATTAGCCATGCATTTGTTCAGTTGCTGCCTGGATGCTGAGCCTTGTCTGTCTAGCTAGGACCAGGCCTTCAAAACGATAGTGAGGTGGGGTTCCAGGCCTGCTCCTGAGACCCTGTGCTCTCGACAGGAGGTTGAAGCACAAGGGCAATTTTGGGGCAGGGTGTCTGTGTCACAAGGGACAGGTACAGGCTGCCTCTGTGACCCTGGATCTCCATGTAGCACCTGGCCACATTCACCTCAGAGAGGCCTTGCTGTGAGAGCTGCCTTTTGCAGCCCCACAGCACATAGACTAGCCATGACAAGAGCCACCTTCTATCCCTGATTGTCTGCTCATACCGTTCACTCCTGGAGCAGTGGGCTGTGCCTTAGCACAGACATTTCCTGCTCCTGTGGACTTGCCAGGTTGCTTGCTTTTGTGTGCCTGTTTCCTTCGTCATAAAGCACGACATTAGTACCTGTTCGGAGGGACTGTTTGGAAGATGGACAGCAATGCTGAAAGGTGTGAATGATCCAGAGGGTGCTCACAGCTACTGTGAGCACCTGGAGGCTCCCTGACCAAGAACTCCCTGGCTTCTAAGTGGCTGTGGCAGTGCCATGTGGAGGAAATCAAACATGGGTTACATACATGACTGCTAGTAGCCACATCAAAAAAAAAAAAAAAAAAAAGTAAGAAACAGGTGAAGTTAATCTGAAGAATATATTTTATTTGAACTGATTGACCCAAAATATTGCCAGAAAACTGTTGTCTTGCAGAACAGCTGCCAACAAGTAATTGAGTTTTCTGTCACAGTTAGTCAGTCAGTCTCCTGGATAAGCACATAGTGTGTGATTGTTACATGACAGCCACTCATGGCCCTGAGCCACTGAGCTGGGCAGTGGGGGTCTTGGTCTCAAATGTCCTTCCAGGGGCTCGAGTAGAACCCTCGAGCTTGAGCAGAACCCCTGGATAAGGCTCTGTTCCCTCTTCAGATTGTCAAGTAATGTGTGATCAAGCAGCCAGAGCAGCTGGTTGAGACAATGAATACAAAACACTGCCACTTAAAAATGTCATTATTAAGCAAAATAAGCCCAAAAGGAGAGAGGCCTGCTTTTCAGCTGCTCTAAAAATTGGCACCCGGGTTTGCATAATGGCTTGCCTCTAGAATGTCTGATCCTACCTCTCAAGCCTGCCCTCCCCCCATCTGCAGGGACTGGTGGCTGCTTTGTACAGGAGGGCTGATGGCACAGGAGCTTTGTCCATGTGAGGTGCAGCAGCCAGTGCCTTGGGGTCACAAAGGTCTGGCCTTCTATTGTCTTTCAGGGCCCTCTGTACCCAAGTGACATGGCTAGAGCATTCCCAGAGCCCAGGAAGGCAAGGGTGTGCATCACCCGTCTTAGGCTGTGTAGCTCTTCTGCCAATGCTCTGTGTTACTGCCTCAGGTTGCTTAGTCCCTCCAAGGGCCTCAGTTTCTCCATCTCCACCCTGAAACATACACAGATGTCCCTTTGAGGTCACAGATGCTACAGTCTGTCATGACAGAGCCTGCTTTGTGCTGATACCATTGTCCTCTGAGGTGAATTAGTTCTCAGCCTTAAACAAATGGGCTTGTGCCAAGTGAGGGGCTGTAATTTATCTGTAAGTGTATAGCTGCATGTTTTATTGCATTATAAAACAACTTTGCAGCTTTTAGCACTTCATGTCAGCATCGATTCTAAGGTATATAAATGATGGAAGCTTGGAGCCCTTCTGTGCCCTGGGAAAAGTTGAGGTACAGAGGGGTCGGCAGGGTTGGCAGTGCCCTGGGCGGGTGACCGTGTTTCTCCCATCTGCTGCCAGAAAGCTCCAGGCCTGCCACTCTGTATAGAGCAAGGGCTATATCCCTGCATGGGACCCTCAGTCAGGTGGAAGCCCATCTTTATCCCAGCCCATAGCCCTTCCTCCCCGTCCTCTGTCTGCTCAGCACTGTCAGAGAAAGTTTAAAATCTGTCTTCAGGGTTTTCAAATTCGGTGCTGCTCATTGAGGCCTTTGTGCCCATTGAGGCGGTGCTTGGGGCCT